CTGGTAGGCCCATGAACCCGCTATACAGGAAGTCGGGTTCAGCTCCTTGAAGTTCTAATCCCTGATCCTATGAGTCGATGTGGGTGGGAGGACTCACACAGCCTGACTGCCTTGACATCTGCGTGTCTTCCCTTGCTCACCCTGATACGAAGAAACCTGAGTAGTCTTGCGAGTCAAATCTTCAAATTGTCAAATCAGTCACACCTGCTATGGCAGCCCCCCTCTTGATCATGGCACTTTGTTTTTTATCTGACTTGGTTTCAGAGCCTGGACAGCAGGCCCCAAAGAAAGATATTACTTGGAAAGGCTAGAGCAACATATTTGAGCTATTTGGAGTGATATATATACACACTGTAAAAAAATACAGTAGATAGCTTTACATACAAAATATGTAAACTGATTTACAGTGAATGAAACTCACAACTGTTAAATCTACAAAGAAATAAGTTAATTTCACACAACAATTGTTGTATATTCATAGAATATTTCCTGTATTTTTTACATGTAATAATTGCCTATTGTGGATCCATAATTTGTAAAATGAACAGGGAAATATCAAAAAACTCATTTGAACTGGTAAAACAACTGTGAAACTGTGCATTTTAAATGGAGCTGCTCTGTATATTATACATAAAATCTATTACTATGCTGTATTTTTATGTTTTAATGTAAAAGTTTAAATCATAAACCTGCAGACGTCTTACTGCTATGCCTACACCTAAACATGCAAAAATACATCTTCAGAAAAGACTAGTGAGGAAAATATCACTTTTGGGAAATTTATTTTGCAGCCATCATCAATAAAACAATTGACAACAATTGGATGCATTTTTCCAACTTACACAGCAATCACACAATTCAATCAAAATGCTATAAAACTGTGGAACATTCCCGCAAAGCAACCATCTTCATGAAACAAGCATGTGGCACACCCTCTACCAGAAAAAGTTACATAGTAACCTGTTAAAACAAAAATGACATATTGTGCGAAAATTACTGTAATCACCATCCCACGCAACACGCACTCTGCTATCACCACAACCGTGGTCCTGGCCATACAACACACATGTGTAGTTACCATACCAAAACATCAGGAAACCACCAAACAAACCTATAAACACTGCAGTAACAGCACTGTAGAAAAGCAAACAAACAAACAAAAAAACTGTGGAACATTCCTTCAAAGCAAGAACATCTTCATGAATCAAGCAGGTGTCGGACTGTTGACCAGGAAAAGTTTCAAAGTACACATTGTGGATTTAACAAAGTAAAAGCTAAAAATCCACAAAGAGTCAATATTCAGGCTTAACGCCACTCGTGGTCGGAAAGATCCTGAATCAGGGTGAGGACTCGAGG